AAGAGCGATGGCCTCCAGCCTAATAGCAATGGCCTCCAACCCAGGAGCGATGGCCTCCAACCTAGGAGTAGTGGCCTCCAACCTAAGAGCGATGGCCTCCAGCCTAATAGCAATGGCCTCCAACCTAAGAGCGATGGCCTTCATGAGAACCTATGGCAAAATAGTTCTAAAGATTCATAGAGTCATAGAGATTCTAATGGCCTGGAATGGTTCCAGGTCGAATCCAAAACCTTCTACTTGACAGTCCATTGGTCATGAATGGCCTATGGGGCCCCAACATCAAGCCACACGGGGATTTTCATGCCAAAGTTGCACACGCGGCCAAAGGCGGTGGGCCATTGGTCAGTAGCCGTTGCAAGGCAAGCTCTTTGTTGGTCTGGTGCGCTTCCCTGAGTATTTGTCAGACTTGGCTGAGACAAAGCATCTGTGTCGCTGAGGGCTTCGATCGTTTCAGAGAACCCAGCATCTTCCCGGATATGCAGATCTTCCTATCTCTTTTCTCTAAGTTCCTCGTCTTCGTGATGCTGCAAAATTGACACGAAGACAAGCTGCTCTTCCCAGCGCTCCAACCCTTTGAAGCCATGATCGCCCCGTCCACCTCCGCCCTGCATCAAAAGAATGCCAGGGAAGATGCCATGGCCTCACAGTGGAGTAGCAATGGAAAGCGAAGCCATACCCTCAGTTCTCTTATTTCCTTCTTGGGTGACTGTGTGGCAATCACAGAAAACGTACCACCTCCAGTGCTTTTTCATACAAAGCTTGAGTTTGATGGCAGTCGTGCCTCGCACATGGATGCGCTGGCGCTCGAAGTGAGCCACCTCCAACAAGGCCACCTCTGAGACCTCTTCCGGGATGCCTTGCCACGCTCAGCCATGCTCAATTGCAATTGGCACCGAGCATTCGAACATACTACTGGTAACAAGGGCATCGCTTCTAGGAGCAAGGACGCTACTAGGGGCTCCTGGCCTTACTACTAGGAGCAAGACGCTCAGCACAGTGGAGCTCTAGGCGATTGACGGTAGGGAGAAACAAAGTAGCTTCTTGTTACTAGTAGTAAGTAAGGCCAGGAGCTTCTAGTAGCATCCTTGCTCCTAGTAGCAATGCCTTTGTTACTACTCTCTTAGGTTTTGACCTGGCCTGCCCCTTACTACTCGCAAGGAATGGTCTGTGACTACTGCAACCAGCATCACCGCGACAACGACTAGTGCTGTGGCTGCTGTTGCTGCTGCCACTGCTACTCCTACTATGACTACTGCGTCTACGTCCTTGTCTTGGAGATCTACAGCAGCACCGTGTCGACGTGTCTCAGCATCGCTATAGTTACCCGCAACTGGACAGCAAGCAGACTGGCAATGTTGATCACTCGAGGCCCCCCGGGGGCAAACGAAAGCTAGAGCAATTGGTAAGGGCGTACCGATGATGCTTAACTGCAACGGCCGGCTTAATGTTATCTGATTGATGCTACTACTCACAGAGGTGACTTGACAACTGAGCATCAACGATGCTTAATCATAATAACTCTAACTAGTAATAGCGGCCAACTGAACGTTATCTTGTCTTGACGAATTGTGGAAGGGAGTCAGTTGGCGGCGTTTCAGTGATAGTGCCACGTGTTGGCCTCAGGCCCCCCCTGCTTTTCTACAGCAAGATAAAACTCGGCTAGCTAACGCCAGCGTTCGTGAACGATCAGCCAGACTCCTTCTGTTGATGTGCCTGAACTACACTTTCCACTGATTGCTTGCTTTGTCACGTGCCTGCTCGGAATCGGATTGTGATTCTCTCCTGCCGACGAGGCGGCTTACGAGGCGGCTGCATGTCAAGCACATGACCCTACCAGTCCTTATCACCAGCCTTGATCTCTCCAGCAATGGGCCAACAGTCAAGAACTGATGGTCTGGACAAAGCACAAAGGTTCCAGCTGTATTGAAACGCCACCTGATCACGGCATCAAAACTCCTGTGTATGTGTTCAGAGCTGCAAAAATGAAGCAGCGCATAAAGCAATCTCACAGCAAGTGCTCCATGTGCCAAGCCTTGCCAGTGTTCACGAGCAGCACTTCCCTCTCCTGAACCTGGTGGATTCGAATTACACCAGCATAGACCCTGGCGTACTTGCCGTTACTCAGCCTCTTTAATCCGCCAACCGACAAGCTCCAGCACACGGCTTCGGAATGCAAAAGAGGTTGCGGAACGCTTTAAAAACCTGGTGCCAAAGGGTCTCTTGGATGCTACTAGGGGCTCCTGGCATCGCTACTACGAGCAAGGACGCTACTAGGGGCTCCTGGCCGTACTACTGGGAACAATGTTTGCTAGTAGGAACAAGAAATAACTTTAAAAACCTGGTGTCAAATCAGTTCAGATGGTTGCAGTGTCCCACGCGACAAGTTGCGAGAACTCTGAGAATTCGAGGATTCCGTTCCAAGATGTTCCAAAGTTCGTATGGCAAAAAAGTGTCGCAAGTTGCGATCAACACCTCCAACTATGAATTACAGCATGGTGAAAAATAACATTCCATGTTCCAACCTGTCTGGACCTGTCTTAAGAGTGAAGCAGGAAAGAAGAAAACTGAAAAGCAAATGTTGAAAACCAAGCAAAGTCTGAAAGATCTAAGAATTGAAAAAGGCATAGAAGGACAAATCACAGGAAGAACAGGATCCAAGGTCAGGATTTCTGGTGGTGGGAAGCTGGGAAAACTGCCTCCCCCGGTCGGTGCCTCGGTGTAGGGCACTTCACCGAAGTCCAGCTCCGTCTTGTCCAGTACAAAGTCGAGCTTCGAGGCCTGGCCCTTGAGCGCCACCTCATACCTCACTTATGGAAGTCATGAAGTAGATTTTTAGGCAAGCTTAACATTAGAAGAGAGGAAAAGCAATACCCGCTTTCTCTCGATGCTGAGTCATACAAGTCATACTGTCACACCAGAACACACAAATTTCAACTTCTTACAGACCTGCTTTGGGAATTTTGAGTGATAGACCTATATGAGCCTGCGATCTTGACTGGAAAAAAGGCAAGCGACTCGGGGCCACCTTCGGTTTGACACACAGCTGCGACATCGAACTTCTGATTCTTCATTCCAAAGTATGTGAAGGTAATGTCCTGACGACTCATCTTGCCAGGGACTGCACTACAGTCTAGAGAAAAAAAAAAGTTTGAACAAGCAGACTCCACTTCTCCCATGACTCAAGCTGCCGCGTGCTCTCCGTCCTGCGTACATCCCGGCTCCAGAATGCCCATAATGGGCAGGATGTCAAAGATCTGATTAATGTCCTTGGACCCAACTTGCACAGGTGAGCTCGGATCTCACCCGAAACACACTTTGGGAGGCAGGGAGCCTTCCAATCATCAAAACAGTTTGGAAGGAAGAAGCATCTGAAGCCAAGCATCTACCACGGGACGCCGTGACTTTGTTGTGGGCGCGTGGCTGACAACAGACGTCCGCTTTTCGAAGTGCTCAATAGTCCTGAGCTGAGGAAGGGTGAAAAAAAACAAACCGCTTAGTTGCCTAATGTCAGGCGAGCACACAGTTTCGTTGCAAGCCTTTGGACCCTGGACCTTGACCTACCAAGACCGAACGATGCAAACGACGCATATGTCAAGGCGCTCCGAGGGTGGTGCGGAAGGCGTCTGTTTGTGCCCAAATCCTTGCAATTGCGGTGCTTTGTTGCTGCGAGCCCTAGCGCGATGGCCTCCAACCTAGGAGCGGTGGCCTCCAACCTACAAACAGTTCCCGGGCAAGCCGGCGGCGGAAGTTTCCTGTAAGAACAAATTGATCTATAGGAGTGTCCCGGTTCTTTCCACCATGCGTGTCCCTCGCGTCCCTCAGTCAGAGCTGCTAGAGCTAACTGGGGCTAGAGCTATTGAATCTAGAGCTAGCTGAAGCTAGAGCTATTGAAGCTAGAGCAAATGATGATGAGTGATGAGTGATGAGTGAAGCATAGCTCTAGCTCTAGCCCCACTAAAGCTAACTGGAGCTAGGCGTTAACTATGATGTGATAGCTTGTCTAGACACGAAGCTAATTAGCTCAAATTTGTTAACTGTCAACCTCTCAAAACACGTGCTTTGAGGTCTCCAGAAAGTAATCGAAGTGAGCACTTGTGAGTAAGCAAAGTAGCTAAAATTTGTCAGCCTCTCAAGAGAGCCGGGTGGTCGGGAGACATGACTCAGCTGCAGGGGCGTCAAAGCAGCCGCGAGAGATGACTCAGCCGCGAGAGATGACTCATCCGCGTATTAAAGTTTTACTACAAAGTCGCAAGGTCTCATCTTCCAGCTCCCCAGATACTCCGCGCACTAAAGTTGCACTACAAAGTCGCCAGTTCTCAGCTTCCAGCTCCACAGATTGCTCCGCGTACTAAAAATGTACTAGAAAGTCGCCAGTTCTCAGCCTCCAGCTCCCCAGCCTACTCCGCGCACTAAAGTTGCACTACAGTCGCCAGTTCTCAGCCTCCAGCTCCACAGATTGCTCCGCGTACTAAAGTTGTACTACAACGTCGCCAGTTCTCATCTTCCAGCTCCACAGATTGCTCCGCGTACTACAGTTGTACTACAAAGCCGCCAGTTCTCAGCATCCAGCTCCCCAGATACTCCGCGTACTAAAGTTGCATTACAAAGTCGCCAGTTCTCTCCAGCTCCCCAGCCTACTCCGCGTACTAAAGTTGTACTACAAAGTCGCCAGTTCTCAGCCTGCAGCTCCCCAGATACTCCGCGTCCTAGAGTTCTACTACAAAGTCGCCAGTTCTCAGCTTTCTCAGCTTCCAGCTCCACAGATTGCTCCGCGTACTAAAGTTGCACTACAAAGTCTGCCAGTTCTCAGCTTCCAGCTCCCCAGGTTCCTCCGCGCACTACAGTTGCACTACAAAGTCGCCAGTTCTCAGCCTCCACCTCGCAAGAGTACTCCGCGTACTAAAGTTGCACTACAAAGTCGCCAGTTCTCAGCTTCCAGCTCCCCAGATGCTGTGCCTGCCACGAATTCTGCACCTCGAGATTCACAAAGTGCCGTGCCTGCCACGAAATCTGCACATGGAGGCTCGCAAAGTGCTGTGCCTGCCACGAAATCTGCACTTGGAGGTTCACAAAGTGCTGTGCCTGCCATGAAAATCTGCACATGGAGGTTCACAAAGTGCTGTGCCTGCCACGAACTCTGCACATGGAGGTTCACAAAGTGATGTGCCTGCCACGAAATCTGCACATGGAGGTTCACAAAGTGCTGTGCCTGCCACGAACTCTGCACATGGAGGTTCACAAAGTGATGTGCCTGCCACGAAATCTGCACATGGAGGTTCACAAAGTGCTGTGCCTGCCACGAACTCTGCACATGGAGGTTGACAAAGTGCTGTGCCTGCCACGAAATCTGCACATGGAGGCTCACAAAGTGCTGTGCCTGCCGCGAAATCTGCACCTCGAAGTTCACAAAGTGCTGTGCCTGCCACGAATTCTGCACATGGAGGTTCAAAGTGCTGTGCCTGCCACGTAAACTGGAGCTAGAGCGGAGCTAACTGGAGCTAGAGCTATTGAAACTAGAGCTACTGGAGTATGATGAGTGGTGTATGATAAGTGGTGTATGATGAGTGGTGTATGATGAGTGGTGTATGATGAGTGGTTTATGATGTGATGAGTGGTGTATGATGAGTGGTGTATGATGAGTGGTGTATTGAACAGCTGTTGAATGTCCGTAACACGGAAGTTTTGCACACTAAACTTCCTTTGACTAGCGATGGCCTCCAACCTGGCCTAACTGCATTTGCACAAGCTGTTCTTGAATCACTGCAGGGACCTGTCATAGCTATGAGACTCCCTTAGGTGTGTCTGGCTCAAGAGATCTCGCCTGAAGTATGAGAATTGCCCGGGCTCATTGTAGCTCCGGCTAAGCCTGTTGTGGTCGGTGACTGTAAAGCTGTTGACTGCAAAGCTCCTGCGGTCGTTGACTGGACACATATGTGCTGCCCCTGTCTTGAAGTAACGTCTGCCAAACAATGACAATGCAAGGAAACATCGTAAAAATCCATCACTGCGGCATCGTCAGGATTTGCCAAGTGACTGGTGTAGTCCTCGTCGTTCAAATCCTAGGGCAACTTCGAGAATCCCCCACTAGGACAGGAAGAAGCAAAAAAAGAAATGCAACGACCTCATGTTCAATCAAACGATTGGTCGTGTCAAGAATGTGAACGAACTGTTCATCCTGGGCTCTGCCTCCTCCACAAATGACCATTGATAATTCACAGGAAGCGGGTTGGGGTTGCCCATGGTGACAGTCAGTTGCTTGGTCGTCTCATTCAACACCTCACGGCTTTGAAGCACCGGAAGCTCCGGTGCAAGACAGAGCAGTCTCAAAAGGACGAGTCGAACAACAGGAAAAGCCTGACCGCCGTACTTGCAGCCCAAATATGCGCGTAGTAGTTCTTGCTAAAGCCCCTTCTGCGATTGCTTGCACATGCTTGCGCCACTCTTGAATTGCACTCTCACTCACTCTCGTTCCTTCTCGTCTTCCCATCTTCCCCACCCAACATACCGAGGAACAGAGCCGAAGTCAAGCTTGTTGGTGCCTGGGGCGAAATAGAGGGGCCGAGAACGATTTTTCAGTGGATTGGTCCGGATCAAGTGGTGGGCCTGATCGGGTCGATGTGTTTGGCCATCGGCTCCATGATAAACCAGATGTCTGTCGACTACCAAGAAGGCCCACGACATACTTACTTTAACGTTTGGCTGGCGGTGTGCTTCATTTGATGCCAGGGGCATGGACTACGCTACGCTCCTGTTTATCATGTTTATCATTTTTGAAAAGCTGAACATATTTTAATATGATTGAATCAGTCGGTCGTCATTTAGGAGGTTCTTTGGTCCTGAAGACAAGGCCACATTGTTCTAGCTGGGACCCCTCGTTGAACGAGGTATATAATTTACGAAAACCTTAAAAACGCTCCAGGGCATACTCTCCATCCAGGAGCAAGGACGCTACTAGGCTCCTGGCATCGCTACGAACGGAGCAGTAACAAAATGCTACTCTGAATCCCGTCTTGGCCCGAACCGCACAGCATGCCGTTCGGGCCTAGTGGGAGCACTCAACTGCCGTTTGGGCCAAGCTGCTGAGCGTCAAGTTCGGGAAAATCACCTCACCAATGAGGCCAACGTGGTCCCTCTGCGGATGGTCCTGGCATTTTTTGGAGTGGGCTCCAGGTCTTGGCATGTCTTAGCCCGTGCAGTGATAGGAGTGGAGTGACCCAGACTATCCTAGCAATGGCGGTCCAACATATTGGCAGAAATGATGTCATGAGTTGCCCTAGCAAAGTAGTGACGGCATGTTCATGGGTCTTCCTGACAAGCGATGAGGTGACACCCATTGCAAGCAGCCAGCACATTCTAAGGTCGGCTCCTGGTAGACGATACTAAGCTTCTGCTTCACTGTTCCACAAACTCTGTCGACCTTGAAGGCTGGATCAAACTCCACCCGGATCCTCAGCCACTAATCAAGAATCAGATTCACGTCATATCAAGACTCAGTTTCTCTTTCTATCGCTAAGTACTCAGTGCAATGCTCAACGTTCTCATCCGGTCTGAGGAAGACGGTATCAACATTCACATAGAACGGCCTTGCATGGGGCCAGGATGGGCCAGGCTTCAATGGCAGCGAGATGGTCGACACAAAATGTCTGAAAACAAATGTTGCATCTGAACCTGAGCAGGCGTTCATAGTGTCAACCCCTACTTATCGCATTCGATTCCACACAACTCAGTATTAGCTCTGAATCCATCGCTTGTCCATCCTCTCATTCGGCCAGTTGATCCAAGTTTCGGCTGGACCTTGATGAAGAAACGGACCTGACAAAGGGTTCTCTGGGTCCGCTGAGGCTCGCGGCAGCATCTCGATCTCGACATGACAGGACTTTGTTTTCCGGGCAATTGGTCCGAATCCATGGTGAAACTTGGCAGGAAAGCCCAACTCCAGGCCGCCTCTAAGTCCAGAAGCTTGGGAAAACGTGGAGGGAAAGGGAAGATGGAAGATCCACACCCGAAGCCATCCCAAGCCATCCCCAAGGCCGGAAACATGCAACGAGTGTGGCATCATTCCCGAGAAGCGCTCAATGAAAAGTGGGCTGAAGCCCTGCATCCTCTTTGGCCTCCGTGTATGGGCTCTCTTCCATTTCTTCGCTCTCATCGAAATCCTGCCACGGTCCACGTGCTGGCCCTCCTTTCCCAAGCGGATTGGTATACGGAGACCACGGACCGTGGTTCAAAGGATAGCCTTAGCAAGCAGGAGACGCCGATCGTGGCAAATCTCCACTCTCCCCCGTTCCCCCTTGCAACCAAATGTGCAAAATATCCTTCCCCTTGTGTGTGTGTGACACGTTTGTGCATGTTGCAGCCAATGCCGCACTCAAAAATTGCTCTCTTTGCCTTTGGTTCTCCGGCAACGTTTCCCATGCAAAGCAAGGTGCCATTGGGCATACGAAGCTTTGGTGTCCAAAGGCCATTGCGCGGTCGCTGCTTGCGCTCCCAATGCAAGTGTTTGGCCAGACCGGTGCGCTCCAAAATGGCCTCAAACCTGTGCATCTGGCAGCTTCATTCTGACGAGGCGGGAACGCTTCTGGGGTGGAAACCGTTATAAACCAGGGGTGATGGGACAAATTGAACGCATGATTCCTTCCAGTCACCTTGTGGCATGCCTTGGACTAGAAGGCTCTTGGTGCAAGCAGGTTGGGTGAGGATGCAACATAAACTGGATATAGGGGATCACGACTGGATGGCATTTTTACCCCTGCACTAGTAGATGGAAATGGAGGGTTGGTTTACTCCTACCGAGACCCAGGAGTAGTTCGAGACTGCCATCTATCTGTTGCTGAAAAGCAGGATCGGTTTCAGCAATGTTCTTCTGCATGTTTGCATTTTTTGTAAAGGGGTCAGTGATGGGGGTTGGAGCAAGCAGCTGGGATACGAAATGTGCACCCAAGGTATGTGTTCCTCTTCATCATCGACCATGGTAGCCTTTGAGACGCAGCCAAACATTGCCGTGACGGACACCAAATGCCATCAACAAGTGCACATTCTTACAAAACGACATCCAACGATCCAATCAAATCAAGCGACATTTGCTTACAATTTTTGCAATGCTAATGCTTTTGAGCTCTATTTGCAGTGTATGCCATCTACATGTTCCACATGTTTGTAGCGCGGGGGTAGGTGGCATGGAAGTAACCTAAACCACAACAGGATGGCATATTATAGGGCGCCTCCTCACGCCATTGATGCTCTCACATGTGGATACCCCGTGATTCTCGTTGCATGCTGGTTATCATTCTATGGCTTGTGCTGTACATGCCCACGCCTGTCACGAACCTTCTCTCGAGAACCCATACGCCGCTCAGCGAACTTCAGGGCCCGGTGCAATTTCCTTGGCAAGGAAATCGGATGATTTTTGGCGAAACCATCCTGGCATAGGCTCCTTCGCCAAGCCAGAGAGAAAACAAAAAAACACCTGGTTTAAGTTGGTTTTAAAAAATATTGAGATCCGCAGCCGATGCTGCCATCGTATCTGTAGGATTTCGGTGGGTTGGATAACTCGAGCTCAACATGCTATATAAGGAATGCACAAACTTTATGTCAGTTGACCTCGAAAAATCTCGAACGGCGAGCAGCTTTGTTTGTTCGCAGACTTTCTCTTCTCTTCTTGTGTGCTATGGCTTTGGCATGTTATCACCTGGTTTGGTTTGGAATCGCTGTCAGTTGACCTCGGGAAATGACGGGAAGGATGGCCAGCAGGACCAACACCGGACACAAAGCAACCATATCTAGCGGATCCCCTCTCTCCTATTTCAGCGTGGCCTACCGTCGACCTTGGCAAAGCATTGTTCAACCTATAGGGAGGTCGGGAAGTCACGAAGCGCTTTCTATATTATTTCTAATAGCTTCTTGTTACTACTAGTAAGGCACTTGTTACTAGAAGCGATGCACTTGTTACTAGTAGCTTCTTGTTACTACCAGTAAGGCACTTGTTTCTACTAGCGTCCCTTGTTGCCTTTCTTCCGTTTCTACTAGCTATGGCCACCCTAAGAGCGATGGCCTCCAACCTGCTTGCATCTGCTTGCGATGGCCTCCAACCTAATCGCGATGGACTCCAACCCAATAGCGATGGCCTCCAAATAGCTCCCACAATTACACAACTAGGGTGAACAGGGTGTTGGCGGCAGTGGCCTTTAATGTCAGTCCAGGCCAAGTGCCCAGCCAGAAGAAGCGTTTCAAGAAAAAAGTCCTCCACAGCTCATATACAGTACATCTTTTTGGATATGATTCGCAAGTCGCAGAATGCTAATTTCATACTCAAGCCACGGATCTCCATTGATACTTACATTCCCACATGATAATCATGATAGAAATCACAGCGATACAGGCCGAGGGTTGAAAGTATTACGAGGGTATGGCATAATGTGTAGGTCTTCGTCTGTCAACATCAGTCAACAACATCAAGAAGCGCGAGAAGGCGGGTTGGATCTTCCGAAATTAGGTTACCTGCACGAAAGGGGGTTCTTTCAGAAAGCTGGCTGGCTCCGGTTCTCGGCTTTCTCATGCTTTCTCTGCCGCACCACGCGCCAACTCGCCAGAATGACGCACATACAACCGTATGTGAAAAATGAAAAACAACCGATGTTCAATGCATTTCACACGGCCAGAGCGTCCATCCCAGTGCCAGCAGCTCTGGCCGTTCCGCCACTATCTCACGCACCTCTTCAGCACCTTAGACAGGTTCTTGATCGGGGCAGGTAACAACTAAAAAAACAATCCGTACTCCGCTGCTCCACCACAAATCCAAAAACAAGCGACTCACCAGCCCTAGGACATGGACCGTTTCTGGATGATGCCCTCTTGCATTCAAGGGATCGGATCGACCTGACGATCAGTTGCAGCTTGGGAGCCGAAGAGGTGTTCCATAGCTTCGAAAGCAAGCTCGAACTTCCTGGACTTCCTCCTGGGCGATCGCACGGCATCTCACCTGTTCTGGGCTTGCACCTGGGACCATTACCATCGCACATGCGTGCAGTATATTGGGGTGGAGGCCATCGCAAGTAGGTTGGAGGCCATCGCTATTAGAAACAAGGACATAAGAAAAGGAAGACAGGTCTAATATAGTTTGCTATTAGGTTGGAGGCCATCCACCTTTCATGGCACGACGCTTGAATCATTTTCTCGAGCACTGGGGGGGCTCTCAAGTTTCTTGGCTGGTGAATTTGGCACAACGTTCCAAACCATTCTTTCGAATACACATAGGTGGAGGCACTTGTGGCCACCATTCAGCAGCCTACACACTTTACATCTTAGGATTCCATTTAAACTACATGTTGCGATCATTGCATATGATGACGTTCCTGTCTCTGCCTGCAGGACCTCGACTTTTCAGACAGAGAGGTGAGGCGGTGGGGGCCTAACCCAGAACTTGAGTGGTCAAACTTCATGTCAACCATGGAGCTGCCAAGAACCGACTAGAAATCCTCCAACTCAGAAGCCATTTCTGCAAATCGCGAAGCTTCTTTTGAGTCAAGTTGCTGGTTCTCCTCGAGGAGCAAATAAGGAGCTTTGCGAACTGCAGCTTGCGCCCCCCTCCTTCCCAAGCAGACTTCTCAATGTGCCCAAACGACCCAGGAAGTTCTCGCCTTAAGAAGCTCACGCTTCTCAATGTGCGGAGACATGAAACTCTTCTAGCCTAACTCCAACCCAATAGCGATAGCCTCCAACCTACTAGACATGAAACTTTCATGATGACACTCTTGAAACAACTGCCATACCTTGGAGTCCTTTGCAGACCGATCACGGTCAGTGCTTCGTCAACCGAGCAGTCGAGCTGAGAGTAAAAGGAAAGGTTGCTGATGGGTCTCATGGCTGCTGGCCAGTCACCGTACCACTTCAACAGCAGGGGCTCCCTCTCGATCGCCATGTGCGCCTCCATTAAGAAAAAAGTAAGCTATACACGACTGTGAGCTGCTGATATTGTTGAAGCTTCTTGAATGTCCAAAAGGTTACTGCATGTAGCTACCATTCGTTGATCATTTCCCACCGTCAGGCCTCTTCCAAGCCGCCAAAGATGGCAATCAGCACCTGGGCAAACTGCAAGATGCAGAACATGTTGTGAGGGCATTGTGACAAAGCGCTAGAAGCAAACAAGAGAAGTTGACCAGGGGTCCTCCACATGTTAAGCCCACAGCTTACTTGAGTCACTTGTGAATGAGCGCGGCATCAGGTTGACAATGATGCTTTGCGTTCTCATTTCATGTCGCCATAACAATCCAAGATACCGGGTAGCATCCCGGCACAGCAGAGATATACGGAGAGCGTGCCACACGCTCCATGGCCTCCTTGGCCACCTCTAAGGCAGCTTCTCGGTTCCCCATCACCGCCGTCATATCACCCACGGCCTGCCATCTTGGGCCCTGAAACCATCTTGGTCAAACCACCTAGGAGCAAGGACGCTACTAGTAGCAAAGGGCATCGCTACTAGGAGCAAGGACGCTACTAGGGGCTCCTGGCA